TTGATTCCCAATGTTAGTTTAAGATTTTCAATGGTATGAGAAGATAAAGATAAAAAAGAATTTCCTTCCAAACATGTCACGAAGGCACACGCTCAGTCTCGTTTACCACGATTCGGGTAGTCAAAACGTCAGAATCTTAAAACACGACAAACATCGAAATAACGATCCGAGCAACCCTCGTACTCGCACTCGCTTCGCCGGCAAACAGGGGAGTTTTTAACACTGCATGATCCCTAAGTAAACTTAGGGCGAACGCCAGCCTTCTCGTGTCTTCTCGTGCAATTCTTATCGCGTAAGTGGACGCGAGCCAACCTTGTCCGAATTAATTTCTCAGCCGATTCATTTGGCTTAAATCGTTCACGAGAATACGTTGTGAGAACATATTTTTACAAAAATTTAAAACTAAACGTATTTTACAATTAATCACCTTAGAGAGAATCTTTCCTTTTAACACAAATTTTTAAATCTAGATTTGAGAAATGTTAATACAGGACATTGCCGCACGAAACTAGCCCTTTAATAATCTTTCGAAAAAGTCCAGTATAAAAATTCTACAGTTCACTCGGACATCATAATCTTTATGGATCCTCTCAATCGCGTCTGCGACCAGGCAATATTTTGTTGGATAAAAGTGACGTACGATGCGTGTGGATTAGTAATTTTTTCAAACTTGTTTGTGAATGCAAAGGATACTATCGTAGGATGAATAAAATCCTCGGTACATAAAGAAGTGCTTAAAACAAGAAAGCGGCCAAAAAAGTCGCGTAATATTTCCCACTTTCGTAAATCGCGTAGTAAATCAATTTTATTGTAATCGGATCATCTCGAATCGGATCATTGCAACATCTCGAAGAGATTTGAGAAAGTTAGTTTTCACGTGCAATTGGCCATCATGAATCTCATTCGTGTACAACCGATGAATTAGAATCTCGCTAGACGTAGATAAGGGGAAGGGGGAGAGAGTGCTGTAGACCCCGAAGGGTAGATCGTTCTTCCAGCGAGTTACACATAATGCCTCATAAACACCCTCAAAATGCCTGCCATCACCCCTGATTCGCATTGCCGCCGCCCTCTCACGCCTGACACCACGTTGGCAATAAACTTCGGTCTCGTTAACTCTCAGCCACGAAATCTCTCCGACAGAATCTTTCAACGTGAGACATGAAATTCGAAATATCATTGAGGGTCTGCATTATTTGAATATATGTATGACAAACTTATTACTTAGAAAATTAATTTTTCGAGAAGGTAAAAAAAATCGATACATCAATCGTCAATTTTATGGTTAAATCTAATACCATAATAAGAACAAATTGTCCATTTCTATAAAGTTGTCTATCGGTTTAGAAAGAGTAAGATAACTTGAATCAAGTATTGAATTAAAGAGAGAGACATTAATAGAATTGAAAATGCTGATGTATGTTCAATTCTCTTTCTAACAGAGCACAGATGCTAATTATAAGATCAAGAAATGCGCAGTTATAAAGACTATGGCACACAAAGAAATGTAATACACTAAATTGTAAGCAGTAAGTGAATTAGCTAATCAGAAATAGAGACATAAGGCAATAACGCAAGTAGTAGCAAATTCAAAATCAATTGTTGATTTGCTTCGTACTTATGTCTTATTATTCATAGACGGACTTTCTTATGGAGGGTATGGAGCTTTTCACATCCAAAGCTCCTAGGTGTTAAATTCCACATCCAGAATTGAGGGTATTAAAAAATTAATAAATTTTTGACAAATTTTTAAAAAATTTTGAATGATTTGATAAAAAACAGTATTTAACTATACGAGAAATATATTTCGTACATACAATAAAAGATAAAACATTTGTTATTTTGAAATTATCCCTCTCTCGTCTGGATGACTTCACATTCAGAAAAATCAAGTCTCTATCCCTGTTACTACTTAAATTTTTTATGCCATAGCCTTAACTATTATGCATCGTCCAAATTATATGGGGTAAACTTAATGTAAGAAGTAAAAGTAAGAAATTGACCAATCATAATCGATTATGCATCTCACATTCAATTGTGATTGATCAATTTTTACTCTTACTTCTTATAAATACATCAAGCTTACTTTGAGTATTGTATGCGTAATATCTATTCTACAATAGTCATTAGCATAATTAAGTAATTGTAGTTGTAAGAATTGACTAATTTCAGTCAAATACGAAAAGAATGTGTGACTGTGATTGGTCAATTCTTATAACTACATCACTTACAACTGTGCTTATGCAATTATAAAATAGATACATTACATCTTAGCCCAATATTTCAAGATGAAACAAAATACAGAAAATATAAAAGTCGTGATAAGATATTTGAATAGACATCGTGAAACAACGTGGCGCGAAAATAGCGGCCAATCAGCGCGCATCGCAAAAAGGAGCGCGCTGGAAATGGCACGGGTCCCTTGGCGAAGTTAAAGTCCGGTATTTCGCCCAGCGACGAGCGGTAAGCCGGTTAAATGTCGTGGTTCACCGTAAAAACGCGGTCGTTTACCGGGGGCTGGCCGCGCCATAAAATAAAACTATCCGACCACGCGCGTGTACATACCGAGAGCTGGCCGCCACTTGGCGACGCCATTATAAGCTGTATAACTTTATTGTCGCGGAGCGCAGAAAAGCGCGTAAATGTCCTGCTTTACTCGTCGACATATCTCACCCGCTGCTATTTTCTTCGTTCGGTATGGCGATGCGATACGACGCAACGAGATGGGCTGGCCATCCCCGCGCGTTTTATTTCGCGTACGCGCGATTACCGGGACTGAGTTCGATGCGTCGAACGCGTGACAAATTCCGTGCGACGCGCGCGTCATCGATTGAAATATTTGTGCCGAAAACATCGAAATTTAGTAAACGGCCCGGCCAGTTACGAGTCGCGCTTCATCTGCGCGTTTGCCAATATTGTTTCAGGTCATCGACGGACTTGGAGAACGAAAAACGTTAACGTGCGAATATATTAATACGAGATATTTAGATTAGAAAAATCAGAAACTGTACTTCAATGTACCTTAACCTAAATCAAAGTAAAAATATAAATACAATTAAATATATTATTAAAAAAAAAAAATAAAAATACAAAATATGCGTACATTGTGTTTCAAAATTATTAAACTTACACTGTTAAATCTATAGTGTGAAATTTAACCTAATGTAAATCATCACTGCACTACTCAATTAAAACAATGCTTATATTTGACACTATATAGTGTCAAATTTAACTATCGTTTTAGTATAAAATAATGATATATTTAGTAGAAACAGTGGCGACTTAAATGAATTAAGTTAAATTAAGTTGACACTATAGATTTAATAGTGTAGGTAGCGAGCTAACGTCATTTGTCGTCACTTCGATGTCTAAATGACATTTCGTTAATCAGCAATTTATTATTTTTTTATTTCGTTGTATGTGTATGCGTGCGCGCGCTATTATTTTTATTTTGATTGTATTTTTATTGTAAGCTCGGACTTTAAGACAGCATATTATGCTAATATCTCATCTTTTAAAATGTACTTACTTCATCTTTACATTATTATACATTTAGCTATCTTATACAGCACAGAATGGGAAAGAACATTGCTGAGAATAGTGCAGTGATGATTGTTAAAGTGTGAATGTTTTTCAACGTTGACTATTTTCGATGTTAACACAACATTTATAAAGTTGCAATTAAATGTTGCTGGGATGTTGATTCAACATTAGTGTGCTGTATGTGAGCATATTTCTTTTGTTCTTTTGCACTTCAAAGATTA